GGCAGTTCAAACCCACCAGTCACTCCTTGGAAGAAAGATTGGGCAATATACTTCCTTAGTGATACCATCTTGGAAACCCAAGGAGGGGTTGCCATGAGGCTGACCCAACTCGACAGCAGTGAGTTTACTTTTTTTTTCCTTCTTTTAATTGAAGAACAAAGTAGGACATCCCATACTCTCAGAACCAAAACCTACTATGCAGACACAGTAGTCAAAACAGCCTGGTATTGGTACAATGACAGACACATAGACCAATGGAATAGAACTGAGAACCCAGAAATAGATCCATAGACCTGTGGTCAGCTGATATTTTATAAAGGGTTGAAATCCATTCAATGAGGAAGAGATTATCTCGTTAACAAATGGTGCTGGCAAAACTGGATATCCATTTGCAGGAAAATGAAACCATATTCGTACCTCATACCATACACAAAGACTAACTCCAGATGGATCAAAGACTTATCAAGGAAAAAATAGGGGCATATTTGGTGGCCTTCCTTTATGGCATAAACAGAATGTCAAGCATAACCCAAAATGCACAAACAGCACAAGATAAACTAGATGAATGGGACCTTCTAAAAATTAAATTTTTATGTGCTTTAAAAGACTTTTCCAAAAGAGTAAAAAGATAGCCTACAGATTAGGAAAAAAAATTTGGCAACGACATACCCGACAAGGAACTTATCTCCAAAATTTATAGAAAACTCCAACAGCTCAACAGCAGAAAGACAAATAATCCAATTTAAAAATGGGCAGAAGACATGAGTAGACACTTCACCAAAAAAGACATTCAGGTGGCCAACAAATACATGAAGAAATGTTCACAATGATTAGCCGTTAGAGAGATGCAAATCAAAACAATAAGATACCGTCTTGCGCCCAGCACTAAAAGCAAAATTCAACAAGACAGAAAATAACAAATGCTGGTGAGGATGTGGAGACTGGGACTCTCATACACTGCTGGTGGGACTGTAAAATGATACAACCTCTGTGGAAAGCAGTATGATGATTCCTTAAAAAGTTGGAATTAGAAATACCATTTGATCTAGCAATCCCATTACCAGGTATATATCCTAAAGAAGTGAGAGCCAGGACAAGAATAGATACATGCACACCCATGTTCACTGCAGCACTATTACACTAGCAAAAAGATGGAAACAACCTAGGTGGCCATCCACCGAAGAATGGATAAGCAAACTATGGTACATACACACAATGGAATATTATGCAACACTAAAGAATAATGTAGAATCTACAAAACACCACATAACGTGGATGAACTTGGAGGATATTATGCTGAGTGAAATAAGTCAATCACAAAAGGACAAATATTGTATTAGTTCATTACTGTAAAAAGTCAAGGAAAGGTTTATATACAGAAGGAAACTTTCTTAGTTGGTTACTAGAGAAAAAGAAAAGAAAAAAAAATGGAATGAAGAGACACCATTTACAAAAAAAAAAAATTAAAAGGCATGGACACAGCTGCACAACACGGTGAATGCAATTAATGTCACTGTATTGCACATGTGAAAATGGCCGAAATGGCAAATGTTTTGATATGAATATTTTACAATAAAACATCTTTAAAAAATAATGAATAAAGCTGATACATTATGCCTGCTTTTTGAAGAAGGTTACTTAGATCTGGGGAAAAGCTCTTTTTCCTTCATTACCCCTACCCTGGAGCCTCACTGTTTAGATGACAGGGTCATACGTACTCAGGCACCAACATCTGCAGGGAGCCAGCCTCCCCGCTTGTAGAGGTAGATCTAGTGCTGGCCTCACACACCCAAGTTTACATAATGACCCTGAAAGGTTTTTTTTGGTAATGATAAATCTTTGTTTCATAATGTATGTAAATTAATTCTACAAAAATTTGATCATTTGTATAAGGTAAATTTTCCTCTCCTATATTTTCATCTACAGAAATCTTTTTAGAAGCTTCAATATACATTTGCTACTTTTAATCTCTTCAGTTCAAATGTTAAGAATTCTATAATATATTCTTTTCCAATGTTTACCCTCCACCATTCACCTGTCAGCTTATGTGTTGCTGGGAGGCTGGAGGCTGTGCCACTGGTATTTCAAATGCCAGCAGGGTCACCCGTGGTGGACAGGTTGCAGTGGAGCTTCCAGACTGAGACAGACCCAGAAGAAGGAAGGGGCCATCCACTTACGCATAACATTGTGAAGAATGAGAATTCCAGAACACTTAATTGTGCTCATGAGGAAACTATACACAGACCAGGAGGCTGTTGTTCGAACAGAACAAGGGGATACTGCCTGGTTTAAAATCAGGAAGGGAGTGCATCAGGGTTG